CCACGGAGGAGGAGGAGGATTAGTAGGACGAGGATGGGGAGGCTAGAAGAGACTCCTCATATTGTCCAGCGGTATCACATTAGATTCGGTCCACTCCACCTCCTCCGTCGGTGGCCAAAGGATGAATGAAGATTGGGAACACAATGTCGTGGGCTCCCATGACGACAGTCTTCTTCAGACATCGTCTCTCACAATGCCTACGCGAAGCTCCCTTCCTCCTATGTCCTCTCACAGCACGAGTGCCGCAGAATCGGCCACACCGTCACGACATTTCCTCACCATGTTGGAGTCCTATGTGCCAAATCGAAGTCGCACTTCAATCACGATCAGGTCTCCTCCCTCCTGTCAGTCACGGAGGCGCAGCACTTGCTCTACCATACCACTACGGTTGCCAGTTTCTTCAAGTCGACGGCACAAGAACAATTGAGACGTTTGGGTGCTTAGTGCGATGGTGTAAGCGTGAGGCAGTGTGGTGTGGGTGGCACTTTTGCTCCATTCTAAGTACAGACCACCCAAAATTAACATTGCGGTCCTGTGACATCACAACTCACGTGATTTAAATGTTAATGGGCTTTAAGTTGCCGAAGAATAAGTGAAGACCCAAGGGCATTTTTTGGCTCATACTTTTCGGTCTGTCCTAAGGGAAAGTTGGATTCTCTCCCCCTTTTGAACTGGACTTGTTCAATTTCGTGCAATATTCGTTTCTGGTCCATTTGAAGGACTTTAATGCACTTTTTAGCAGTGGCACATTCATTTATGCAAATGTTTTAATTTATGAACCACTGAAGCATTGCTGTAGACCCCTCGTGAAGAGGTTGTAAGGATGGTTGGTAGTGGACACATGACTTCGACATGAAGGCTACTGTTCTGTGTTTTTGATTAAAATACAGCTGGAGGGGAACAAACTGCAGTGTGGTGTCGCTTCAGACGACGAAGTAAGGTGCATGTTGTTAGAGGTTGGTGGCTAAGGGTGCAGAAAGGTGAAGGGGAAGACTGTGATAAAGTAGGATCGAAGCGTTTGTTTGAGCCTCATTTTTTCGAACTAAATGCATGAGACTGAGCCATTTAAGAGGTTCTTTAATGCAGAGACGTATCACTTTGAGTGCCTTTGAGGAAATTCGACTGAACAAAGGTATTTTAGTAACCCTGCTGCACTTTATCTCCTTTAAAGGATGGTCAGTGTGGTATGCATCGGTATACCTATCCGTGAGAAGAGATGTAATGCAAGTAGAATGCATGCAACAATCACTTGCATGCTAATCTTTAATCTCTGCCCCTTCCTTCGAGGTCGCAAATGATGCCTCTTCAGTGCACCTAAGGATAGGTGATTCCAACTGAACAGATGAGAAACAGATGCGTGATAGGAGCTGGCAGAACTAAGAATAAAATGATGGCAATGGCAAGGGCGATGGAGTAACAGAAGTGCAGCCAAAATCTAGCACATTTGCCCTAGCAGGTTTGGTATTTTAGGAGTGGAGAGGAAAGACAACTGTACGCCGTCTCCTGTGATTGCTGCGCAATTGCTATTGTGCATCTCATGAACCTATTTGTTTAGGCTATAGGATTGCACGATGAGGCAAAAGGGAAACCGCTTCTTAGACCATTTTAAGCAGAAACATAAAGCCATTTAATGTGTTTAGTTTCTGCAATGATGTTCCTACGAATGATACGGGTCTCCGTTTGGCCTTGCTTTCCTTCATTTTCCACGCCTCAGTAACGGCGACGAATTGAAAGAAATTCCTACCCTTAATTTACTTCCCCATTGTCACACTAAATACAATTGGCTGAGAATTGTGCAAAAATTAAAGGACTTGTATGCTTTGGGCTCGTCCCCATTCGTATCCATTGCATGGTGCATATTAGGAAGAAATGGCACAGGAGGTAAGGACTGAATTCAGCACGGTGGCATCCTAGAATGTACAAGAAAGGGGAGAATAAGATTGGCAAGGATAAGCCTACAGGTGAGCAGCGTAGTTGAGACAGTAGCAAGTGATCTCTGAAGTGTGCAGCCCAAGGGCGCAGGATGGATGTGAGTGGTGGATGCTGGAGCATTAAGTCACATCGACATTGTGTGCATGTAACAGAAGAAATGCATCACGGCAGAAGTTCTTGGCTTACCCTTGGTTAAGTGGGAACATTGAGAAACTAAAGTTGACCATTATAAGGTGTTCTTAAAGCAAGGCATGCTAACTCAGGAATAAGCCATTAGTAAATCGCCTTTTTGGCAGCATGATGGTTCTGTACATGTTAAAGTTGCGGTGAAGAGATTTCTCAAGTGCTCACTGGAGAACCTGTGCTCGGTAGCTTGGCCTTTGATCCATGACGGTAGTATTTGCAGCTTTATCAGTGCCGCGTTTTGAGCTCGGAAAACTAGAAGCGTCGGAACTTGAAAAAAGTGGAAACTTGCTTTCATCTTAGGGGTGAGCATTCTTGACGTTTGCCGCTCTTTGACTAATCTTGTTATGACAATTCAAGCAAATATTGCTTTTGGTGGAAGGCGAGACATCAAAGTCAAATAGATCGGTGAAAAACAACACCTACAGTAGACAGCAACTTCAATTTCGATGCGTGCATGAAAGCACCCATCATATGTAAAGAAGCTACTTGTTTGCTGTTTATCTCCAGACCGAGCAGCTTGCACCACTGCATAGCATATCTGTGAAGAGATGTCGATTGTCTGAACTGAAAGTACCTTTAGACAGCAATGAAATGGGTTCAAGTGAACAGGTTGGATAAATAATGGATCCTACACCAACGAAACGCCCTTAAAGCTCAAAGCTTGGAAAATGACGGCTTTCACACTAGTGCTTTTACGGCTACCGATAGATGCATGTGATGGCTTGTACAGTCCTCCAACTTTAAATAATTCTCTTATACTGAAAGAACCCGCATAAATCCCATCGCGATACCTGGCAGATGACTTCGTCGAAGAGGCGTGTTGGGAATTCCACTTGAAAGGAATGTGAAGACATGCGATGCACAATCTATTTGCTCTTCCCTACACCTTGGTGAAGACAAAATGAATTGTTTCATCAATGTATTTCCACCGTGTGAACAAATTTGCCAGGCATGCAATAAGTTCCAATCCATTACAACGCCCTTGTCACTTGGATTTGCGGCCACAGGTGCCACGAAGCACTTTTATCCCACTGGATATCCTACACGTGGCATTGGAAACTCGGAACTCTATAAGATTAGTTGCTCGTTTTATCCTTACGAAATCCACACAACTGTGTCACTGTCCAATGACAATGAGTCACACAATAAGTTTACAAGTGACGTCCTTGTTACTCTTTTTACAACACCTGTAGACTGATCCTTTGAGAACAGTCACGATTTTTTCACATCGGTGATATATAAACTGACTACCTCGACAGTGCTACTTCCGAACGCCATTTCCTCTGGGCGTCCCCTGAGTGATTAAGCATTTTCAGTCGCAAGATTAGCAATGCTCAAGCCTTCTGTTTGACAAGCCTCATCTTTTGTCTACAACACCGTTACTACAAGTCATAAATTCGACGGAGGCAAATTTAAATTAACAGCCATTGTCCACAATTTCTTTCCTTCCTAAACAACTAGTTTCAGACAATTGGACTTATTGTATAGGCGTAAATTTTGTCATATTCGAGACATATTAAGATTTAGAATAGTTATAAACTACCGATCTGAGAATGAAAATTTCGACTTGATGATGAATGCTTTGAATGGTGTGTGACCAAAGTTTGACGAAGTTTACTAATTCGTTTGCCATACCATGTAAAACTGCTGTTTCCGGTTCCGGTCTCTGTTAGGTGGTCCCATTGCCTTATCTTGTTGTGCTAGCTTCTGCACCGATCTCAAAAACTTTGATTCTCGTTCTTTTTAGCAATGCCTGCCTTTCTCTTCCAAGACTTAACAGAACTCTGCTTTCTAAACGTCCTACTTTAAAATGTCACGCGACAAAAAAAAACGCAACTGATGAAACTACGTAGTTCCTTGGATGAGGGTTGACGCTTTTGTGTGTTTTTTATGCCATTACTGGGCGCAAGTTGCTGACGGTTGGAAAAGTCATAAAAAAATAATGCTACCTCCTTACATAAAAAAGGAAATCAGTAGGACTGTTAAATCAATTGTTGATCCGGTTCATTATTCATTCTTGGTTCGTTCATTTCTTGGCACCTTTCTTCTTTATGCTGCATGAGTTCATTTTGAACAACAATGAAGGAGAGGAAGGAACTTTAGAAAACGTTAGAACCCATACAATTCAAAATTATTAACGCAGGCAAGTAGAAGCATTAATTTACTCGATTAAGTGTCCCGGTACTTCAACTTTCAATGCTGACAGAGATTTCGTCTGCTCCAGAGACAACTTGCATAATGCTGAATAGAACCAACTGGCTTTCGCCATTCTGATTTCCTGCAGCATTTCATAGCATGGCAGATGAATAGAAAAGAATGCGGTTAAAAGCACAGGGGCATTTTCGGCCTTTTAAAAGCCCTTTTTTATGTTTCAATTTCTGGATTAGCGGCGGCCTCGGCCTCCGGTCGTAAAGACGGCATGAAGGCCCACCATCAGTGCGCTGAATCCCGCTCGAACCATGACGAAGAGCCAAAAAGTTTCATCAGGCCATTGTGCTTAAGTCCCACCCAAAATGCGTTTCCAATGTTTTTCAAGTGTCTACATGATTTAAGTGGTCGATGCAGTAAATGACCGTTGCTAGTGTGTTTTCAACAAGTGTTAATGGTGACCAATGGCTGTACTCTCATCAAATGATTTTACTTATTCGTATGTCTTGGCAATGAATTACGTAAACGCTAAAAGTGACACTCCCTTGTCCCTATATTCCATTTAGAACCTTTTTATTTGCACAAATAAGGTTTAATTTAACCGAGATCCATGGCGTGTAACAAATGGCAATTCGATTGATTCGTTGACACAGCGCAATTCCGAGCACAAAATCAAGAAGAATCGACCAATTTTCGGGATCCCAAATCATACTAGTAAATTAATCGCAAATAGACTTCCAAATAAGAGTTGGTTGTCGAATCTCCTATCTGTACGAATTACTTCAACAAAGATCCGCCCTATATGTTTAGTGGGTGGATTCAGTGCCTATGAACATCCAACTATCTCTCGAAATTGGCTGATGCGACATGTGGTGACGCATCCATAGACCCAGAATAAATAATCCCAACTTACACTTTACACTAAATGGGTTTTAAGTTGTCGAAGAATAAGTAAAGACCCAAGGGCATTTTGTGGCTAATACTTTTCGGTCTGTCCTAAGGGAAAGTTGGATTCTCTTCCCCTTTTGAACTGGCCTTGTTCAATTTCGTGCAATATTCGTTTCTGGTCCATTTGAAGGACTTTAATGCACTTTTTAGCAGTGGCACATTCATTTATGCAAATGTTTTAATTTATGAACCACTGAAGCATTGCTGTAGACCCCTCGTGAAGAGGTTGT